GGGGGGGTGTTGGAGAGGGACGATGAAGAAAAAAGACAGAGTAGATCCATGAAAAATAGGCAGAAAAAAAACCCCACAATGTTACATTGTCCAATCCAATTTTTTGAGGACAGAGGGAATCTTTGGTTTACACACACCGTAAACAGTTATTTTCTTTTAAGAATTCTAAGAATTCTTCTGGAGCAAGTTAGGAAAACAAAAAAAACACACAAAACAAACAAACAAACAAACAAACAAAAACCATTCTCCCCAAATTCTTACTCCACAATAAATCCGATTTTCTCAAAGTGTATTCTAAAAATTCCCAGAATATTCTTCTCAATTATTGGCGCGCTGATGATCGCGGGCACCGTAGTTGACGTCGTTTTCGTCCAGTGGCCAGCCTGGGAGGCTGAGAGAGTCAAGTCACGTGGTTCCCCCCACGAGGAAAGCACGCCGTTTGAAGGACACGAACCCAAAAAATTGGGGCGAGACAAGCCGGGACAAGAGGACTGGGTAGGGGGGACGTCTGCTCTCTTGGGGCGATCCATGAACTATGCACCGCCGAGTCCATTTTGGGGTGAGTAAGGGAAAAATGACGATTTCCTTTTTCCTTCCTCTGGTATCCTTAGGATGGCGAGGGGAGGTGCAGGTTTGGGTCATGTGCTAAATGTGTGGCGTCTGTGATAGACATGTCATGTTGTTCTAGGACTTTAAAAACCCCATCCAGCCAGGCCTTTCTTAGTCTTCCTCTTGATTTGAAGCCGGATTCACGGGTGTGGTAAGCTCTTGCTCTAGTTGTTTCTGGGGCATTCTGGTTAGATTTCCAAACCATTAATTGACTCTTTGACGCTCAATAAAATTTATTGCCAGTGGTATTCCGGTGTGAAGGAATATGGTCTCATTCCTTAAGAGGTCTCTTCTACTCGAAGTGACATTGGGGGTTTTGCAGAGACACCTCATTTCGCATGCATTGATTTTTCTTTCTTGTGCTTTGTTTAGGGACCATGTTTGGCACTTCAATGTTAAGGGTGGTAGGAAGAGATGCTATTAATAAGCTTAGATTTCACTTCCGTTGGGATGTTCTTATGTCTAAGCAGGGGTGCTAGCTGGTAGGTCACTGCATTTGCCTTCTTAGTTCTTGTTTCTATATTTTTGTCCATACGCCCATCTTGTGTGAAGATGCTTCCCAAATATAATGATGTTGATGATGAGGAAACATGAAATAAATTGGGATATGGTATAGGTTTAACGCCCCTGTCAACACTGTTAGGTTGTTAAAGAGGTGGGATCTCCGAACGGACTGAGTCAAGTGGGAAATTCGTTTAAAGTGAATTTTCCAAGGACACAACATCGGACCGAGCAGTAAACAGATGACGTAATGTCTATTCGGCCAACTCACTGCTGAGTCAGCCATTACCTCTAACCGTGAACGGATTATTCTCTAAGGTATAGATAGATAGATAGATAGATAGATAGATAGATAGATAGATAGATAGATAGATAGATAGATAGATAGTAGATAGATAGATAGATAGACAGATAGATAGATAGATAGATAGATAGATAGATAGATAGATAGAGAGATAGATATCATAGATGACCTTTCACCCTATGTGTCACAGAAATACGCTTGTTTTGACTGGCAAAGGTAACAAGATGACATTTCAACCTTTGTATCATAGAAATACACTTGGTTTGACTGGGAACATTTCTAACATGGCCCTTCACCCTTAGTGTCCAAAGGCGAAGTTTTTAACAT